TCCCAGAGCCAGGGAGAGAACCCAGGAGTCCTGGCTCCCAGCCCCCTGCTCTAACCACTAGACCCCACTCCCTTCCCAGAGCCAGGGAGAGAACCCAGGAGTCCTGGCTCCCAGCCCCCTGCTCTAACCACTAGACCCCACTCCCTTCCCAGAGCCAGGGAGAGAACCCAGGAGTCCTGGCTCCCAGCCCCCGCATCACTCCTCCCTCCCCTTCATAGCCCGAAGGTTCTGGCTCCTGCGGGCATAGCCCTGCCCCCCAGCTCAGGGAGGGGGCAACAGGGGTACCCTGGGGCTGGGAGACAGGGGTAGAAACAGGTTGCAGCTGGCTTGGGTCTCTCCCACCCCTCAGCTCACAGGCTCTCACCCCTATTAGCCCCCCCCGCCCAATCTGTCCCCTCTCAGCTCTGTGTGCAGGGGCTGCGGGTCGGGAGTGAGGGGCACCGGCAGGCTGGGGGGGGGGCAGGGCTGGGCTAGCAGGGGCTGTGGGGTGGGAGTGAGGGGCACCGGCAGGGCTGCGGGGGGAAGCCCGGGGCTCCCTGTGCCCCACATCTTTGTTAGGCCTCCTGCGCCCTCAGCCCCCCGGGAGCATATGCCCTCAGGTGCCCCCCAGCCTTTGCCAAGCCCTCCCAACCACATCCTCCCGCAGGGAAGGTTTCAGGGGTGGGGGACAGGTGGGTGGGTCTCTGGTTCCCACGTTGGGGGTGGGGTGGGGGACAACGGCAACAGGAACCGAGAGGCAGCCGCACCCCGAAAGGGTTAAGAACAAAACAGCTGGGGCAGGCGGGTGGGGGCACCGCAGGGTCACAAACCTCAGCTACAGAGGGGCTGCGGGTCGGGAGTGAGGGGCACCGGCAGGGCTGGGGGGGGGGGCACTCTGTCCCCCACCTTCAAGTCCAGAATCCTCTTTAGATCTCGGCCTTCACACTCCAGCCCCCCCTCCGAGGCCGCCCCCCACTGCACCCCCCCATCCCAGCCTGGATCTCCACCCTACACCCCTTGGCTGGCGGGGCACGGGGGGGGGGGGCGAAGTCACTTTAAGGATGAATCTGAAAATCGTATCCACGGGCAACACCACCCCCTTTCGCCCCCGCCCCGGGCTCCCCGCACTGATGCAACGTGACTGGGCAAGAGAGACACTGAGCCGCGGGGGGGGGGGCACCGAGGGGGCACAGGTTGGGGTGGGGGCAGTAGGAGGGGCAGGGGGCAGTGGATGTGGGAGGCAGGGGGCAGTGGATGTGGGGGACGGGGGACAATAGGGGGCAGGGGCAGTGGATGTGCGGGGCAGGGGGCAGTAGGGGGCAGGGGCAGTGGATGTGGGAGGCAGGGGGCTGTAGGGGGCAGGGGCAGTGGATGTGGGAGGCAGTGGATGTGGGGGGCAGGGGGCAGCGGATGTGGGGGGCAATAGAGGGGCAGGCCAGGGAGGCCGTTTTGCCCCAAATATTCCAAAACCCTAAATCAGGCCCCAGACTGCCTAGATTCTCCCCTAGGCCTGGGGGTCGGCAGCCAGGTTTGGGGGAACGGGGGGGGGGCTGGTTCTCGCTGCTTCCCGGGACTCCGGGAATGTATCAGGGACACCCCTCCCCCCCAGCTGTGCCCCACAGTGGCACTGGGGCTGGGGGAGAGTGGGGTAGGGGGCCCCATATGGGTGGAGGGAATGGGGGGCAGTGGGGTGCAGATACTGTGCCGGATGGTATTGGGGGGGTGCTGGATTTGGGGGGTCCCCCTGCTGTCTCCACCTCGGCTCCCGTCCCCGCAGCGCAGAATCCAGCCCAGATCTTCCCGCCCGGCCCGGCCTGGCCCCTTAATGTCGGCCTGACGCTGATCTGTCCTGACACCCCCCCGCGCTCCCCCCTCCGCGCCCCCATCGCCCTGGGGGCCGCATCCGGCTCCCTGTCACCAGCTCTGCTGCAGCGCTGCTGGGGAGGGCAGGAGGAGGGGGCAGCGGGGGATGGGGGACAGCGGATGGAGGGGGACAGCAGGGGATGGGGGCAGGAGGAGGGGCAGTGGGGGATGGGGGGACAGCAGGGGATGGGGGCAGGAGGAGGGGACAGGCAGGGGATGGGGGACAGTGGATGGAGG